AGCCCCCAGGGAATGGCTGGAGCTGTGTCAGGGCAGGCTCAGGGTGGATCTCAGCAAAAGGTTCTTCCCCCAGAGGGTGGTTGGCACTGAACAGGCTCCCCAGGGCAGTGGGCACAGCCCCAAGGCTGCCAGAGCTGCAGGAGGGTTTGGATGATCCTCTGGGGCACAGGGGGTGACTCTTGGGGATGGTCCCGTGCAGGGCTGAGGGTTGGACTGAGGATCCTTGTGGGGCCCTTCCAGCTCAGCATATTCTGGGATTCTGTGATATTCACAGAGCCTGTGTCAGGCAACACCTTGAACGTGGTTTTAGCCAGTGCTGTGGGACATGTTTCCACCAGATCCCGGGTGAGGTGGGGCAGCAGCTCGGAGGGAATCACAGGTGGCCTTTGCTCTCCCCTCCAGGTGTGGTTCAGCAACCGCAGGGCGAGATGGCGCAAGCAGGCGGGAGCGAACCAGCTGGCGGCCTTCAACCACCTGCTGCCCGGGGGATTCCCACCCACAGGAATGCCCACACTGCCCCCCTACCAGCTGCCGGACTCCACCTACCCGACAACCACCATCTCCCAAGGTGAGCACCTGCACTGCTTCTCTTCTCCTGCCCAAGTCTTACCTTTCCAAGGCCAGGTTGGACGGGGCTTGGAGCAGCCTGGGATAGGGGAAGGTGTCCCTGCCCATGGCAGGGGATGGAACTGCAGGAGCTTTAAGGGCCCTTCCTACCCAAACCCTTCCATGATTCCACAGGGTCTGTCCCCATCTCCTGAGCCAGACTCAGCACAGGGCTGGGCCCTTGTCCTGCCAGGGACCTCTGAGCCACCTACCCCTCTCTAGGCCCACTCCTAAGCCAGGCTTTGTCACCTCCAGTCCCCTCCAGCTTTACAAAGCTGAGGATGGAGAGGCACAGGAGCCGTGTCTGCCTTCCCACAGCTCCTCACCTGTACTAGGTGGCCCTGGCTCCTGTCCAAGCCAGGTTGCCCTCAGCATCACCATCTGTGGGGCCACCTCCCTGTGCCTTTCTCATCCCCTTTGTCCTTGAGGGAAGTGTGTGTGTGTGTGGACATTCCCATTCCAAGGCATGGATCCTGCTCCTCCATGTGCCAACACACCCCAAGTCCTGCATCCTCCAGTGAGGATTAGTTCTGGGATTCTGGGATCTATCATCCCATTGTTCCTTGCCTTTGTCATTCATGAAATCCCACTGAGTCTCTTGTAATACACAGGTGGTTTTCCTTCAGATGGGATAACCAGGTTTTTCCTCAAGTCAATGGAAACTCCTCAGTTTTCTCCTCTGTCTCACGGTCCTTTCTGCTCTGTTGATGTGTCTCATGGCTGCAGCTCTGCTCAGCTTTGGAATGATGAGCACAGCACTATGAACTGAGTGTGATCCCTCATTCTGGATAAAGCTCCACACTGGGGTTCAGTGGAGGGAGTATTGCCCATTTCTGCTGGCTTTGGCCTTTACAAAAGAATTTACAGCTTCTGTTCTAGGGAAAGTTAAATGAAAATGCAGATATTCCCCCCCCAGCTTTGCAGGTTTTGTCCTGTCACGCGGTTTGTGGAACACGCTATGTCCCACGAGCTGAGACCGGGATGGCCAAACCCACGGGCCCATTTCCCAGTGCCAGCTGGAACCCCAGCCCTGCTGAGCCCTGCTGAGCCCTGCTGAGCCCTGCTGTCTCTCCACAGATGGGGGAAGCACCGTGCACAGACCCCAGCCCCTGCCTCCCTCCACCATGCACCAGGGGGGCCTCGCAGCCGCCGCCGCCGCCGACACCGGCTCAGCCTACGGGGCCCGGCACAGCTTCTCCAGCTACTCCGACAGCTTCATGAACGCTGCAGCCCCTGCCAACCACATGAACCCTGTCAGCAACGGCCTCTCTCCACAGGTATGTGACCTGCTTCCATCCTGCCTTTGGCTGACAGGACTTGGCTGCTTCAGATCCTCCGAGAGCAGGGCGAGCTTCAGGCTGTCACAGCGTGTTCCGGTTAACGAGGGGGTTGTTGCTGCTGTCAGGAAGTCTTGGAGGCAGCCTAGTTAAAGCATTTGGCTAATTCCTTTATCAGCAGCATCACGCAGCACTGTTCTGCAGAGCATTTGTGTCCTCTTAGTTCCCATCTCCACGTTAACACGCTGCAACCACAAACAGCGGGACTCAGAGCATCAATGGTTGTCTGCTCGGCCCTCCAGAATATTCCACAGCCAAAAGTTCCAGGGCCCTCCAATTGTGGATTTTAATCTAATGACAGCACACTTGATGTTTTTAGTTACTGTAGAAGTAGCTCATGATTTGTGGGTGGCTGATTTAGAGATTAGCCAAAGCCAGCTTGTCCAAGTTCATGGATCATGGGAGTGCCATGGATTTGAGCTTCCTCAAAACGTGGGGGTGTAGGTCTGGGATTTAGTTTTGACAAACTGATTGTCATGGAAACAATTCTGCTAATGCTTTCCACAAGGTCAGAATGAGAGGTGTAGGTAAGTTTTAAAGGAGGAAAGGTATTTCACACCCTCTGCTTGTGCAGAAAAGTGGAGTGTGTGTGTTTTAAGTTGACCGGGCAACAGTCACGGCCTCCCCTTGGAATATACCCCTGATTTTCACATCCCTGCCTGAGCCCATGACCTGATGTGGGGTCTGTGCTCCAAACCTCAGCTCAGCCCCTCTCTGAAGTGCCTCTCCCATCGGGTATGTAGCTTTAAGTGCTGCATGTGACAGCAACGAGCCTCAGAGCAGACAGAGGTTAAACCTCCACCACCAGTGAGCCCAGAGAGAGCAGAGCTCATGCTCATGTGTTGTGGCAGCAGAGTTCTCAGCTGAGTGGACAGGGCAGGATGTT